GAGGTATTCAACTTCAAATGGAGGAGGAATTCATCAATGGACACATGCCCTATTTTTTGCCTCTCTCCGAGAATCACCGGGAGAGGCTTGTTCCGAGCTTAAGGTCGTGTAGTGCTATTGGCCAGCAAAAGGAAGCGCATGAATTTCGAAAGCAGTATCATTCCACAAAAAAGAACACATAGGAAAGCCCACTCCTTCTCACAGCCCCCGCTACCGCACCCGTCTATAAAACAGCAGATACGCACATCGCGAGTCACCCTCCGACGCACCAAACACATCCACGGGCCGCACGTCGCTCACGAGTTCGTCATCGATGCGCACCCAGCCCTCGCGCTCGCTGCCAGTGCCAGTAGCACTGCCGGGGAACCGCGTGGGGTGGAGCACGTCCAGCGTGTAGTGCCCCCCGGACGCAGAGACACCGTGGTGGTACACCACTGTGCGTGTCGTCAGCGTGCTGTGCGGAGGAGTAAGAGAGAGGCACGTACCCCCGAAGAGCTTATACCGCACAGGCTGCTTGCGTGCCGTCGGCACCAGCACATCTATATACCACGCACACATCAGCATCAATCCTAAGTGGAGGGAAGGGAAAGAGACGTACCATTCCCGACCTCGAGCTCCGGCCCGAACGCGACGCGCTTCCCGACCTTCACGACGCCACCTACCGCCGTGTCATAGCAGAACCGCTTGACGTGCAGGATGAGGATGGGCGGCAGCGCATCGATGAGTATTTGCTGCGAGGCGTCGACGACGATGCCAGGGCGCGAGGGGTGGCTCATCTGCACGGTTTGAGGGTGCGAGATGAGCGCCAGGGCGTCGGCGATGGTGTGGATGCCATCACGCTGAGGTACAGTCAGTATTGAATGAGGAAGGAGGGGCATGAAGGAGGGAGGAGGTACGGATACGAAGTATAGAACGCGGAGAAGGGACAGGCCTCCACAGAAAGACATGAGTGAAAGGGCAACACACCTGAATATCAAGTCTTAACGAGCGCCAATCCTCCACAATCACCGAGTCCTTCTGCCCCGGCGCCCGCAGCGTCGAGCGGAACCGGCCGCCGAATATCCGTGTAATGGGCGATTCGGCCGATTTGACCTACGATCGGTCAGCATGGAGAAGAGGGCGAGGGAAAGCGAGAAAAGAGAGACCCACCGTCCTCGTCACAACCGTGCGGTTCTTCCGCCCCACCTCGAGCCACCCGTCCTCCGTCTCGGGCGGCGCCTCCTCCTCGCGCTCCTCCACCACCGCGCGCCCCGTCCCGTCGGCGCTGGGGGTGGCGGCTACCCTCTTTGATGCTGGGGCCGAAGCAGGCGAGAGGCCGGCGACGACCGCCAACAACTCCTCCTCGAGCGTATCGAGGAAGAACCCAAGGAACTCCTCCGCGTCTTCCTGGTGGCCGCCCTGCAAGCCCGTCGTCGCTCACATCAGTACACGCGAGAAAAGGCGCAGACGAAGCATACGCACCCGCATCCATCAAACCGCTTCTTCCCCTTGAGCGCGTCGTAGATATGGGTCGGTATGAACGCCTCCGGCTCCTCCTCTTGCTCCTCCGCCGGCGACACCTTCCCCTTGCCCTTCGCGCCCGCACCGCCATTCACAGGCTTCTTCGCACTAACGCTAACGATAAACTCGCGCAAGAACGCCCCCGTCGCGCGCACGAGCGGCGCCGGCCCCAGCACCCCTCCCCCTCCTCCCCCATCGTCCTGCCCCCCGCTCGGATTCGTGTTAAATCCCCCCGCGCCCGTGCCCGCGACGTCAAACTCCGCCTCGCCCAACAGCGCGTGCAGGCGCGCAAAGAGGCTCGAAAACGGCGCGCAATACACGAGCACCTGCAGCACTGCGTTCGCGAAACACATGTTGCCCGTGTTGACAAGCCCGCGGGGCGTGAGGCGCTCCTCCCGCGTCTTCTCCGACGCCGTGGAAGCAGCGGAAGCGGAAGCATCCGCGAAGGATTTGGGCGCGGTAGCATCGGCAGCAGGCGCACTGAGCAGCGCGCGGAGCGCCGCGTGGTTCTTCCTCACCGACTCTGCGGCCCCCGACCCGGCTCCTGCAGCGGGGATGGAGATCCCGACCACAGAAGAGGTCGGGAGGCCGCCCAATTTTTGTTTTCCAGCTTGGGGGCCTGCGGCGGCGGCGGTAGCGGCAGGGGAGGCGGCGGGTCGAAGGAGGGAGGCCCACGATTTTTTGGGTGGAGGAGCGGCTGGCGCAGCGGGCTGGGGCTCCGCGGCATCCGGCGACGTGGAGGTGGACGCGGCGGGGGCGGCGGCGGCTTCGGCGGCCTTCGAAACAGAAATGGACGTAGCAGACGAAAGCGGCGACCCCGGCACCGTCGTCGCCGTCGTCACGGGCGTCCCCGTCGTGCGCGTGTCGGTGTAGTCCGTACTGCTCGAGGGCGTGTCTGCGTCGGCGTCGGCGTCTGCAGCATCGGGCGCTTCAGGTTGGGCGACCGCCTCCTCCGTCCTCTCTTCTACTCTTCCGCCCATCGCTCCCTCCACAACCTCTCCCCCTTCTCTGCGTTCTCGCTCCACCGGAACTGGTGGCGGCGACGGCGGCGGTGTCCCCCCCGCCCTGGCAGACGCCACGACGTTCGGCGGCGGCCGCGCGCGCGGGGAGATGATCACGCCCGGCGCGTGTGTGGGGTCGCGCGGGCGGCGGGACCAGATCGCCCAGCCGTCTGAGTGTGAAGTAGGTGCGGACGGGGACGAGGGCGGAAGCGCGGACGAAGAGGAGGACGCGGGGTGTATGGATTGGGAGTGGGAGTGGGACGGCGACGTGGGCGGGGAGGCGGATGTCGAGGCGGGTGCAGAGATTTGGCCATACCCATACCGTGAGGGCTCGGAGGAGGGAGGGGACGGGGTAGATATTGGGTCTGTGAATGATGAGGATGTGGTCAGTAATAGAGCATTTGAGAGAGGAGGTAATTCGAAAGATAAAGATATCGAATATGGCAAGATGAAGATGGGATGAATGGTCGAGGCCCCAAATTTTAGCCTGCGCGAAACGCGCAAACGCCCTCGCGGGAGCACCCCATGCGTCGTCGCCACGGGGACCCGATGAGGCGGAAGGGATGTCCATACAAGAAATAAAGAGAAACGCGGGAGACGCAAACGCACCTGGCTGTAAAGCAGTAGATACGGACGCGGACGCGGATGCGGATATGGGCACAGCGTCTGCAAAACGAGGAGGCGGATGGTCAGTATCGTATCACAGTTACGGTAGAATTACAAGTAGAAGGAAGAATGAGAATGAGGAAGACGAAGATGGGCCCAAAGAAAGTGCAAGCGAGTGTGCAGCCGCTCGCCCAAGACGCTGGAGTCCGCGTCCCTCCTTCCGCCGAAGGCGGCGCGGAGAGTTTCTGCATCCACTCGCAACACCCATATACAATGAGCCCACAGCGCGAGCCGGGGGCGCGGAGGAAGGACGGAAGAAAACAACGAGCATCCGGGTTTCTTCCAAGACATCTCAGCGCACGGTGTCCTGCCTTCAACGGCGGTGCGGAAATTTCAGCCCCACACCACACTACACCCACCGCCGCGTCCAGTCTCGCTCCCGGCCGCCCCCCACCGATAGCAACAGCGACATCGATAGTGGCGCCCGCGTCGGATCCACATCTCCATGCGAATACGATCCACCCCACCCCCGCCGCTCCTCAGAACTTCTAGCCCCGACACGGAGTGAAACCGAGAGGACTTTCAAGAGTCTCCCTTCCATCCCCCTCCAAACACAAGAACACACAAGAAAGCGAAACGAAAGATAACAGACAACACACCTGACTCCAGCACCTCCCTCGTATCCGAGACCGCCACCACCGCGGCTGTGTCCGGCGGCGCTGTGTTTTGGTTTTGCTCCTCATGTAGCTCGTTTTTCCCCTCATTTTGATTTTGCGGCACCGGAGCCGCAGCAGGCAGCGGCGTCGGCACCGAGGGATACGTATACACCGGCCCCACCCTTGGCGACCCCAGCACCAACGGCGAAGGCAGCGGCAGATCCTGTTTCGGGAGCGGGGACAGCTGGTGCGGGGGCTGCTGCTGCTGTGGTGGTGGAGGCTGGCCCCACGCACCCTGCGGCGGCGGCGGGGCATACATGACGCCGACGGGATAGGGCGCGTACGCGTGCTGGGGGGCGGGGTACTTCAGTGATGGCTGCATATGGTGTGGCGCGGGGTGTTGGTGCTGTGCGTAGGGCGGTTGTGGCTGCTGGGGGTAGGGCGGGCGGTAGTTGTTTATGTGCGGCGCGTACTGCGGGTGGCCGCCCCGCCCTCGAGGTGCTTGCGGATGGTACCCCGCCCCGCCGACACCGCGCCCGTTCAGCCGCGGCGAAGACATCCCCGGCCCCGGCCCCGCGTTGTATTGCTGTTGGTGCTGGACAGGGTTATAGCCGTTCGGATTGGAGGGCCCGGGGGGGTAGACGTTATTGTTGTATTCCGCGCCGTAGTTCTGTGGCGCTTGCGGCTGCTGCTCGATGTAATAGCTGGAGCTGGGCCCTGCCTGCTGGTAGTGGCTGGCCATAGCGTCCTATCCTACGTCGGGGATCAGATACAGAGACTTTGAAAACATGATTCCGGGCACGAACAGTTCCGTTTTATCGGACTAGGAAAATTCCAGGTGTAGTCCGACAGACGCGTCAATAAAACTCGAGACAAGCCAGATTCCCCGAGGGTTCGCAGCGTAGAGCAGAGAGTGGAGTCCAAGGAAAAGCAAAAGCTGAGCAGAGAATCGTTGCCAGTAGACCGAGGACGAACACAGGGAAATCGAGAATCCGGTATGAAGAATCGATGCAAGCGTCAGCCTTGTTTGCTTACAAACACAAAATCGATATCCCCGGAAGGTGCCGGCTATACGGCAGGGAACTTGCCGGGTGTGGTTCAATAATGATCGCTGGCTCAATTTTCTCGCATTTGCAGCAGATTGTCGGTGAGTTCTGAAGGCCGCATCCAATTCACACCGCTCCATGGCCAAATGAAACCGGCCTGGGCCGAAATAAAAATCCTCACAAAGGTCCCACGACTCGGGCCTGATTCGAACAGGCAACCTCCTACATCTTAAAATGCAATCAAACCCTTGCACTTATAAGTTCTATGGGCGCAGACCATCCGCCACCGAGTCGGTATACATGTTCAACCTGACCCTAGTGAGTAAGACGAAGACGGGGAGCGGTGTGAGTGAGATTTGGAGGAAAAGGCACATTGACCGAAACTCTATGGGATGCGAGCCACCCGCCACCAAGTTGGCACGGACGTTCAACATGGCCCTAGTGAGTGGGAGCGTAATTGTAGAGGTCTGAGGGACTGTCACTGGGGCAGGTCCAATATGGCATCAAAAAGTGAAATACACCGACTTCATTGAACCTCGGACGGAATGTTGGTAATGCTAATTTGTTTTTGAGCACCGATTCGCCCGCGTCCGGCCGAAGCCAAAAAAAAACCAGACAGACCCTACATGACTCGGACCTGATTCGAACAAGCAACCTTCCACATCAAAGGGCTTGGCAGCGACCAAAGCTTTGTGGATGCGAACCACCCGCCACCGAGTCGGTATAGGACCGGAAGTGGCCTCAGCTGTACGAGAGTCTCTGAAGAGAGAAATCGAGAGGGTCTGTGCGAAATTCGGAGGGAGGTTCATCGTACGTGTGCTCCGAGTCCCTGGCCATCCAGAGGGAACTTTCCCTCAAAATCCCTGAAGCAAAATCAGAAGCAAAAAATTGTCTCTGGACATTCATATGACTCGGGCCTGAGTCGAACAGGCAACCTCCCACGTCGTAAAACCTGAAAGCTTTTTTAGGTTCTGTGGACGCAGACCACCCGCCACCGAGTCAGTAAAGGCCTGGAACTGAGTCCGGTGAATTAGAGCGAATTCGGGATGGTTTGGTGAGACTGGAGCTTGTGCGAGGTTGAGTATCCCGCGAACCACATGACTCGCCCTGCTTGACTTTGGCCCAGGTTCAATGGACCTCCCGCTCCAAGTAAAAACGTAAAAATGAACCAATGCTGAAGGCAAAAGGAAAACACCACAATCGCCAAAGTGACTCGGGCCTGATTTGAACAGGCAACCTTCCACGCCAATGACAAATGCGCTAAGTGCTGTGGACACGGACCATCCGCCACCGAGTCGGTGTCAGTGTTGAAACCGGGCTGAGTGAATGAGAGAACATACCATGAGCAATACTGGGTGGTCATATTTTCTGGCTCATTTGGCTTGTAAGTTCAGCGGACGTCTCGCTCTGAGCTTTTGAAGAAAAACAAACCTATTCAGCCGGAAGGAAAAATCATTCGAACTGTCTAAGTATGTATGACTGGGGCCTGAATCGAACAGGCAAACTTCCACATTGAACACCAATGTTCACAAGTGCTGTGGATGCGGGCCACTCGCTACCAAGTCATTACAGGACTGAAACTGGCCTCAGTGTCCAAGAGCAAAATTGAATCAGAGGTCTGAGGGAGATTTTGAGGGAGGTTCAACGTGCATCAAAAAGCTAAAAACACCGACTCCATTGAACCGCGCATGGAATGTTGGCAATGCTAACTTGATTTTGAGCACCGATTCGTCCACGTCCGGCCGAGGCCAAAAAAAAATGGAAGAGATGTGGGGATGACTCGGGCCTGATTCGAACAGGCAACCTTCCACATCAACACCAACGAGGTGTTCCAAACCTTCTGTGGATGCGGACCACCCGCCACCGAGTCGGTCTCGGTATCAATACCGGTGTCTGGTACATGAGAGCTAAATTGAGAGGGCTCGAGTGTGAGGGAGGTTCAACACACCACGAGCAACTCTGGGTCACATTCTGAATTCTTCAACAAAAATCGGCCAATGTTCAAGCTTTCGAGAATCAAAATGGTTATAACAGGTGAGGTACGAGCTTCATGCTGTAATGATGTCTGTCTACAAAAGACTATAAAATATTGATCTTTGACAATCTATGACTGGGGCCTGAATCGAACAGGCAAACTTCCACATCGAGCACCAATATTTAACAAATTCTAAGTGCTGTGAATGCGGGCCACTCGCTACCAAGTCATTACAGCACAGGAACTGGCATCACCGTCCGAGAGCAAAATTAGGAGTGAAGTTGAACACACCATAAGCAACCTGGCTCGTATTCCAGTTCAAGTTCATTTGGCTTTGTAAGTTCAGCAGACCTCTTGCTCCGAAGTTTGAGAGAAAACTCAACCCACGTTGAAAGCAAAAAACTTGCCTTCGAGTTGATCATTGACCTCGGGCCTGATTCGAGCAGGAAAATTCCCACATCGAAATACACAGTTTTAAAGCATCAAACTTTGTGAACGCCGAGCACCCGCCACCGAGTCGGTTTCTGTATTAAAACCTGCGTCCAGTGCATGGGTGAGGGCGGGATCAGGAGGGTTCGATTCGGATCGGATGCTGCATGTGGCCATCTACATCGCTCATTTAGAGGGACTTCTTACTCTAAATTCTTGAAGCAGAATCAACCAACCAACGTTGAAGAAAAAAAAACTCCTTGCGACTTCCCATAATGACTGAGCCCGAATCGAACAGGCAACCTTCCACATCACTGCATCCCCAAAGCATCCATGTTGTGTGGATGCGGACCACCTGCTACCAAGACAGTGCTTAGATTAAAACCTGTACCATCCAGTGGGTGAGAACGAAAGTGGGAGGCTTGAAATACCGGGGCTTGTGTGGGATCCTGCATTTTTGAAGCAAAATCAAGCAAAAGACAATGATTTCTAGATCATCTAAATAACTCAGGCCTGACCCGAACAGGCAAGTTCTGCTTGTAATCCACCCGCCAAATCAGGTCTGTATTAAAACCTGTGCCCAGTACGTGAATGAGAGGGAAGGTGGGACGATGGAGCTTCTACATCACACAAAACACATTATTACTTAATTAGCTCGCTCTACGTTGTGATTTGCCATTTTGACAGGCCCCATTTGTGAGGAAGAATTAACCAATGTTGAAAACAAAAAAGTTTTGTCACCGTTGATGACCTGAAATACGCAACCTCCCACATCGATAAGCACCAGCCGTTGTGTAGATGCAACCCGCCCGCCACCAAGTCGGAGACTCGGGGTTAGTGTTGAAAGCTGTGTCTAGTAAATGAAGGAGAGCTCAATTGAGAGGGTTTCGTGACTGGAGGGTGAACATCCCATGAACCACACTCATTCGCTTGCTTGATTTTGCCATTTGCCTTTCGATGCTCCTTTAAGTATGTATAGGTTTCGCGCTTACAGAAATGCCGAGCAAGGTCAATTTATCACCTCTAAGGGCAAGGAGACAGGGGCGGCGGATTCCACTGAAGGTGCCGAGACACATCCTCACTGTGAGAATTCCCGCTACCTTTAGTTAAGGGTTTCTATAGAGAGCCTGATTTTTCGCAACTTGCAGTAAACAACATTTTTGGTCATTTTCTTTTGCGTCAGCACTGACCTGATCTCTCCGCCAAAAAAACCTGTGGCAATGTTGATGGCCGTCTCAGCCACTTGCAGGGCATCACATTTTTGTCAGCTGATTTTCGTAATCCCAAAAATCTTCGCCCGATGTCGGACAGCTCCGTCGGATCACCCCAACCATCACCTTTGGATCCCACATTCAGCGACACGTCACAACCTCTTGCTCCCAACTTCCATGATGTTTTCCGCTAGCTTCTGCAATATACCACTCTCTTCTTCTGTTGGCCCCTCTTTTCCGAAGCCTCATTGCTGTCTCGAGACTGGGTGATGTCTACTGGGGTCTCAGCTTCTCATTCTGTAGCCTCGGGCCCTCTCGTTCTACCATCTGGTAACTCAGTGTGCACTATAACACGAAAACTGCAAGTGTATTTGGGTCTCCCATATGACCTTGTTCTCAGCCGTGACTGGTTCTTCTGCCGTCAAACCCTTCCCCATGTGTCCTTTGTCAAGTAAGTACCACATCTGTTCAGCTTCATTTATTTGTTAGCAGTCAACCATTTGCCTTCATCCCCCGACGCCGGGGCTGCACATGTCGTGCCACACAATTCGGGGCTCGCACCCAACGCAACAGCACTTGAATGTAAGTCTCTTGCCGTTCTTTATACACTATGAAATTCGTATTCTCGACATCCCCGTAGCAACAGTGTGCTTGCAAATCTTCTGGGTGTAAATCCCCCTCTACATCTGCTGCCATATCCTGCCATACCTCTCCTTCCATGACTCCGGTGAACACAATCCGTAATATCTTACTTTGACACCAGAGAACCCGAACTCGTATCTCAGTATTCATTCAAATTTACCCGCAATAAAAAAGTCTTTAGAGCTACATGATCTCCTGTGTGCCGGTCTGAGTTGACTGCAATGAAGATGTTTCCCGCTACACCACATTGTGACAAGGGTATGCAGATCATGCAGTGGATGTGGCAAAGACTCCGCACCCCGATCATTCTGCATGTCGAGTTTTGTGTCGTGACGTCGACTCTGCCGCTGACATGTCAAAAACTGTTTTGAATCTTGTTCTAGATGTGGAAGATAAGCTGATAACCACCAAAAGCCTTTCGCACATTGCTGCTGCACGTGTAATTTACGGTTCAAACTGTGCCTAGCCTGCGAACATATCTCACCACTGTCTCATCCTCATGCTCTGGAAGGTCTTCTTCTGCATCTGTTGCAGCCATATTGAATTCTCTGGAAGTCATCGGAAGCCCATTCTTCTTTTAATTACTGCTTTGCATTGCCTCCCAGTCAAGGAAAAAATTGCCTTAGACTCTGACATCACAGTGTCTCGTGTCCCGCTGCGCTCATCAAGACAACTCCGAGATCCCCGAGCAGCCCGACCCGAACACGGCTTCGCGCACCTTGCTTTCTCGCCTCTGCCATCACCACTGTCCCATTCCCCAGATTGTTATCTCTTCGCAGCCGTCGCCCCTCGATCCAGCGAACTCATTTTAACTTGAATACATTCCCCCCTTCGCACTGCCTTTTCACGATTGACCTTAGACACAACACCTTTTCCCGCTCCTTTTTACTTATGATAAATTCCTATATCTATTAGCTTTGCAACACAATCCGTTTTCCCCTGTGAGTTCTTCCCTGCTCGCCTCCAGCATTGTCCCTCATGGTTGCCGCACTCGTGCCTATGCCTACGCCCACACTCACACTCATGCTGGCACAAG